AGTTTTGCAGTCTTGGTTGAATGCTTAAGAGGAAGAAAAAACATCAAAGAACATTGGGCTTTTATAAGCTTGAAAAAAACAGGTCCATAAGGCATTTTAAGCGATAAGAGGGAGGAGGGAGGAACAAATGGAAAGAAAATGAGCAAAAATTAGGAAGTTTTACCCAATATTCAGCAAAAATTCTAAGCACCTTTGTTTGACTTGACTTATACCTAGTTAGAATTTAATGTAAATTCGATGTAGAGAAATTGAAAGCCTCAAAGTGTGTGCGTGTGTGTGTGTGTGTGTGTGTGTGTGTGTGTGTGTGTGTGGTGTGTGTGTGTGTGTGTGTGTGTGTGTGTGTGTGTGTGCTTTGAACCGCTTATACGGAGTGTTCCTATGACGATAAATGGGTAGATAAATTCAATGAAATTGGCAGTTGCTATCGTTTGGTCACGGTACAGTGTCTGGGTCTGTCTGCAGTAATGTTTTCCTACTGCTAGCTTTTTTGTTCATATGAATTCGTAAGTACGCTTGATGAAGGGTTATTAATATAGTTGTCCAAAATTTCAGCCTCTGTCGTTTAATGCCAAGGTTTCTGTAGAAATAAAGTAACATTAGGCCAGGCAAAGGGGAAAAAAAATAATGGATAGAAGACGAGGAAGAATAAGTTTAGGAAAACAGGAGAGGAAGCAGGTGGTTAAGTCAACATGAGCATCTTCTACGTTTGATAAGCTCAAATTACATTTCAATTTACATTGCTTAAAACAGAAGTAATCGACAATTGCTTTGGAAAATGAAGCTTGCAAGAACGAAATAAAAAACCAAAAAATAAACCAAAAGAAAGAACCTCCTACGCATTATTAATTTCCATTAACGACCAATTATGGTCTTCATTTTGCTGTTCTAGTTCTATTCTTCATTGCGAAAAATGCGAAAAATAGAAAGAGATTGAAAAAAATTTATTTCATCAGATTTTACTCTATTATTTTTTTCATACTGACTTTTTATTCTCTCCTGTTTCTTTTTCTT